CATGGAGTCACACTTCCACTACAGGATCACCTACAAGAAGGGCGCGAACAATATTGCCGACGCCCTGACCCGACCGACAGTCCAATCCGCTTCTTTGCTGATCACCCATTCGAACCCGCTTCTTTCGGGACTATTCACCCACGGCTACACTACGGACCCGTTCTTCACGACTGGAAATCACCAGCAGGCGACGACGCAGAAAGGGAATTATTACCTAAAGGCCGGAACTGACCGGATTTGGGTTCCCGCTTACCGGCTGCTGCGCGAACTCCTTATTCAGGAGGTCCATGATTCCAACCTCTCCGGACATTTCGGGGTTGATAAAACCCAGAAGTTGTTGCACCGTCAGTATTATTGGCCTGATTCTGCTAACGACGTGCAGCGATATGTGTCCTCATGCAGGGTGTGCCAAGCCATGAAATCGACACGTCAGCGGCCAGCTGGGTTGCTGCAACCTCTCGAGCCACCCGAACGACCATGGCAACAGGTGACGATGGACTTTGTCACGGGGCTGCCAGCTGGGCCGTCCGGCAACGACGCTGTACTCGTCGTCGTCGATCGCCTCACAAAAATGGCGCATTTCGCACCTTGTCGCACGACAATCACCGCCGAAGAAACTGCACGCCTCTTCATCTCCACCGTTGTGCGACTACACGGCATCCCATCGGCGATCATCAGCGACCGGGACCCAAAGTTCACATCGAAATTTTGGAGGGAGACGTGTCAGAATGCTATTATTGTCTAGCCTGCAGTGGGGTACTCTATAGCGAGTACAGCCCAATCTAGGGTTTGCTATTTGTACTCAACTGCCTGCTAGTTCAACCCCTCTCCTTTCATTCATTCTTGCCTAGTGATTCTGAGATGCTATCAGAGCAGGTCGACCCTCCTGGGTCGATCCTGTGGGTGGGCCCACCACCTAAGCCTTCCGCTGCTACTGCTACTGCTACTGCTACTCCCTGTCCGCCGCGCGCCCCGTGGCGCGCGGCGTCGAAACTAGGGTTTTCAGCCCGCCGTGCGCCCCGAGGCACGCGGCGGTTTTCTGCCCGCCGTGCGCCCCGAGGCGCGCGGCGGTTCTCTGCCCGCCGTGTGCCCCGAGGCGCGCGGCGGGTTCCTGCCCCGTCACTCGGCACGTCGCCCCCGGGAGGCGCTGCGACGGGCGACGGGGACCCGCGCGTCGCCCCCCGTCGCCCGTCGTGGCCTGCGCGCGGCCCGTACACCCGGCACGCGGCCCGTACGGGCTGCGCCAGGCCTGCGCGCGGCCCGTACGGGCTGCGCCAGGCCCGCGCGCGGCCCGTACGGGCTGCGCCAGGCACGCGCGCGGCCCGTACGGGAAGCGCCAGGCCCGCGCGCGGCTCGGGCCGCCTGCGCGCGGTTCGGGCGGCTCTACCAGGCCCGTGGGCGGCCCGTTCCTCGCTGCTCCTGCCCTCTCCACTGTCCCCCGTGCTTCTACCGGCGCCTCACCCCTCCTACAGCCCGTTCTCCTAAATTAGGGTTTGGGGGTGAAGAGTGTGGGGGTGGCGGCTATGGGGGTGTCGGTTGTGAGTTCCTCCCCCTGCTCCTCCTCCTCCCTCGTCTCCCTCTGCTACAGCTGCCGCTGAGGGGGGTGGTGTGTGGGAGCCGAGGGTTTAGGGTTTAAGGGGGGTGCCGTGGATGTGGAGCTAGGGTTTCAGCAGGGGGTGTGTGAGAGGGGCGTGGGACGGTCGGGGGAGGTTGCGTGGAGGTAGCCGTCGTGACGCCAGCAGCGCCAGTAGTCCGGATGCCCTCGCGCGTTTCGGTAGCCCAGCGAGCCTGCTTCGCCAGTCGCCTGTGGGTCCGTTGCTCCTGCGTGTGCTCGTCGTAGCCGCGGAGCCAGATACTCCCGTAGTCCGGTGCCCTCGTGCGCTCGGTAGCCACTGTGCGCGCCGCTCCTGTTGCCCGTGTGTCTGCAGCTTCAGTCGGCGCCTTTCATCTTCTCTCCTCTCGCCAGCCCTCCTCCTCCTCGCTTGCCCTCTGTGACTGCCTCTAGCTTTGCTCATAACTGTGAACTTTAAACTATTGCTTCTTGAACTTGTGCTCAGAATGTGTGGTGACATTGTGATCCACCCTGAGCTTGTACTGCTTTGCTTGCTCTGCTGATTACACCCCACTTTGGCTATGGGGGTGTGTCAGAATGCTATTATTGTCTAGCCTGCAGTGGGGTACTCTATAGCGAGTACAGCCCAATCTAGGGTTTGCTATTTGTACTCAACTGCCTGCTAGTTCAACCCCTCTCCTTTCATTCATTCTTGCCTAGTGATTCTGAGAAGACGTGGGCGCAGTACGGAACGAAGCTACAGTTCTCGTCGGCATACCACCCGCAAACCGACGGCCAGACCGAGCGGACCAATCAGACGATGGAGCAGCTGATCAGGACAAACTGCCCCGCTCCCGCTCGCTGGGAACATTCGCTCGCCATGCTGGAATTCGCGTTCAACAACGCTCCGTCCAGCACGACTAATCACTCCCCGTTCTTCTTGAATTACGGGATGGACCCGGTGGTACCTACAACGACTACACTTGACAACCCGGTCCCGAGGTCACAAACATTTGTGACAGAACTCCAAGAAATTCGCGAGAAGGCTGCGGACGCAATTCGCAAGGCGAATACCACTTCCCGCAAATACACCGACCTTTTACGACGGGAACTCGTCTTGGCAGCTGGGCAACTAGTACTACTGGACACGAAGAACCTGCACCTGCCCGGCCCATCGAAGTTACGGCCACGATTCTGTGGGCCTTTCAGGATCCTCAAGATGGTGACACCTGTCACCGCGAAGCTGCTACTACCCGACGACTGGCGTATTCACGACGCCTTCCACGTCAGCTTATTACGCAAGTTCGTGCCTGCCACAACAGACATCGCGCGCCAGAACGCCGTCCCGACAGCTCGACCTGTCCCGGAACCGACACTCGACCCGTCCAAGATTTTGGCGCATCGTGTTCGGCTCGACGCTTCGGGACGCCACGTGGACTTTCTTATCCGTTGGACTGACCGCACCAGTGAGGACGACACATGGGTGCCATCCGCCTCGCTTGAAGCTTCCCCGCTTCTTGGTGATTACCTCGCCCGCAAGCGAGCTGTGGATGTTGACCACCTTTCTTAAAGGGGGGGGTAGTGTAAGGAAAAACCCTTTTTCCTTACTGGGGTTTACTCAACCGCGTACAACCCCAACTTTCGGAAGTGCACGTTCGGCCGCTTTGCTTGCTGCCGAAGCAACCTCGCGTCGCCTTCGGCTTTCCATTGCCCAACCTGCACCCAACCTCGCGTTCCCGAGGTTCCCGCCTAGCTAGGTTGTCTCGCTATATAATCGCATGCCTTTCATTGTATCGTCAGTTCATTGAGTCACAGCCTCGTTATTCGTTATTCCGCGCAACTCTGTTCGACAACTCATAACAAATGCTTTGTATGTGTCATTTTCATACTTGGGTGTTTTCCAGTGTAGGGAGGTACAAACAATGAACTGTGATGCAAAAATCTCAGATGTGTCACCACAAGAATGTACCCTGAAATTGCCAGCACATAACAACCTTCCCAAATTGTTAACAGATGATAAGCGGATATATACATATGGGGTAGATACGACAATAACAAGTGGATAAATATGATGTCAGTAATTCATGGTGAACCAGCACCTGATTTCGTTTTAACGTAGCCTAAAGTGAAGCATTATATGGTATCAGACTCTCTTACAGAGAGAACGACTTTCGCCGAGGAAGGTCCACCAGTAATATTTCTGCAAGGAATCTCCCGAGTCGCAGGTTGCTTGTCGGTTCTTCAAACGAGGCGCTAGAGCTTACCTGGCCAAGTTGCGTCAAACCGAGTTGCCAAGGCATGCCGTGCGGGTCTGTGCTGTGATGGAGTGGCGTGGACAAGACGAGCGCTCACTGCCGTCGATGCATTTGTCTTACGGGTGGGTCGGGATTTGAAGGTCCTAAAGCTGCCTCATCAAAGAAGATGCACCGACGTGGCGGTCAAAGGGCGACGTCGTCCGAGGCGCTGGTATCGGTCAGGCTGTGGGTCGGTCGTTCGCGAACGTTCAGGTGGGTCGCCGCACCGCACCGCATCTCTGGAACACCTACCCGAAACAGTACTTCCAGACCCATCCAGAGCCAAACGGTGTACAGTTTACCCCTTATTGGTCAACAGTGCCAGCTAGGTCAATGACAAAGACACGACACGCGTTGGCAATTCCGAATAAAAAATATTCTCCCCGTCAGCAGCTCTACGACCTGACCGAAGCCAGCGAAAAAATAGCTGGTTTGGGTGGGGAAAGGCACGCGCCCTTCATTCATCTGGGAGAGCTCGCGCGCACCGCACAGGCGGCTCCACCCACCCATCCCCAACACTACACAACACACGCTGCTTCACTTCCGCCGAAACGCGCAATTCATCACTCGTTCCCCCATCTTTCAACCCTCCGTCTCCGCGTCCTAGCCCTAGCACACCTGCCTCTGGTTTGGTGGTGGTTCCACACCCCAACCCAAGCCACCTCACAACGCCGCTCCCCCACCCACCTGCACCATCGGAGCAAGCATTGCGCCGCTGGTTCAACCACCCGCCTCACCACCACCACCTCCCCTCCCCTCGCTCCAGTCCAGCCCACGCAGTGGACCGATGGTTCTTGGCACCTACGACGACTGCTGCTCTCACTGCCCTTCTCACCCGTTCCCGTCTCATTTCACTCGCAATTCCTCTCCTTCGGCATCGGTGGGCTTGGTGTAAAAAGGATTCGCAAGCCCAAGCTCGAGTCGAAATCGCCCCGCTGTCTGATTGTCAATATCTCCTCTCTTGGCGAAAGCATTGAGCTTCAGTAGTTTGAGGAACATCGTGTCCCTGAAAGCGCAGTCAGACTCCTAATCAAACTAACCCGCGGAAATCCATTCTCAGACTCCCTCGAAATCTTAGCTATCGCGCATCGATGGAACAGGCAGCCGCGGCCGCGTACCCAGGCGCGCCGCCGTACAGTCCGCAGAGCGAGCATATGCTACCGTTCGTGGCGCTAACCCACGATATCTCCGCCTCCGTCGCCTCCATCCTCCTCTCGCCCTCCTCGCGCTCCATCCATCCGCACCTCTTTCAGGCTTGGAATTTCACCCCCAGCCCGCGCGCGCCCAGCCCTCCCCCCTCCGCGCATCCCGAGCAGCCGCTTGATTACGGCTGCTTTTTTTCCACCCCGCCCATTTCCCTCGCTCCACCTGCTCTCCCCGTCATCCCCGGGATTGCGTACACCTCCACCGCCGCCAAAACCGCCGCCAGCCCCAACACCTGCATTAGCGCTTTACCTGCTCCCCCTTCCGCGACCGACCTTGCGCAATCGAAAAAGGACCAGCAACCTCTGCGGGCGGAAGGGAACTGCTGGGAAGCGGATGGTTACGGAAGGTTGGGACAGCAGCAGCAGCAGCAACAGCAGCAGGAGCAGCAGCAGCAGGAGGAGGTCTTAACTCAGGTGGTGAAGCAGCCGCTACAGCGGAGCCTCAGTCCCTCACGCGAACGGCGGAAGAGCGTGCTGCGCGGCAGCGGAGATGGCGGAAGCCCCTCCGCGCGACCGTTCTCCGGTGCGACCGAGAGCTCGGGTCACAGTAAGCTTCACGCACCCGGTGTGACAGTATCGGGGCTTCGACATTCGCCCTCACGTGGCGAGCTTCGCACCGCTGACGCAGGCTCGTTTATGGAGCAACTCGCGTCGTTCTTTACTTCTCGGACCAAAAGAGGCGTCGCTGTCGCGCCCGACGTCCCCGCCTGCGATCGCGCTGCAAGCCGCGCTCCGAAATGCGCCGCGAAGCCGCCCCGCCCGCCGTCCAGCCAGTCGCTGCTCCCCGCGCCCGCCACGCGAAGCAGCGCAAACCCCTGGCTGCGCGGCCACTTCGGGCGGAAGGGCCACGACCGGCGGCAGAGCAAGAGCAGCAGGAGTCGCAGGGGCGTGTGCGGCGGAAGCAAGAGCGGGCAGGCGGGTGAGGGAGCGGAAGGGGTGATGCTGCCGATGCTGGTGCTACTAGTAGGTCTCTTCTTCGTGCTCACGTTCGTGCAGCATATTTTCAGCCCGGAACAATCGGCGCTATTTGCGGCGGACGAAGCGCGCGCGCGTTCGGGCAGCGGATACAGCGTCCAGCCGTGGGATACCCGCGGAAATGGGAGCAGCCGTAGTAATAGCGGCGGGTTGGAGACTGAGTCACAAGCAGGCACTAGTCGAAGTCCCAACGGAGGTAGTAGCGCGAGTGAAGCTCGGACTAGTACGGTTGTCGCCGGTGCTGCTGGTGCGCCGCGCTCAGGCCAGAACCGCAAACTTGGGCGCGCGCCTGTGGCAGCGCCAGATGCGGCGAGTGGGATCAAGACGGAAGGAGCGGGCGTGCAAGGCAGGGACGGGGAAGTGTCGGGAGCAGTGGAAGACGAGAGGGGCACAGTGAGTCTGGGGGAGTTGGGGAGCATAGAGGCGGAGGGAATGGAAGAAAGGGGGGCTGCTGCTGGTTTGGCGGGAATGGCGCGGCCTTGGGGACTGTCCGTGTGGCAGATGAGGAGGCGTTGAGCTTGGGACGAGATGGACATGCTAGTTGATGATTGTATCTAATGTGGCGCCGTTTATGTACATTTATTACGGCATGTGATACAGTTTTAACCCAGAATTTTCCTCCAGGAAGTTATTGTGGCCTTTGTAGTACGGGGTTTAGTGCTGTTTGGCTGACACGTAATGGCCATTACAGGTTGCTCCGAGTGGGCACAAATAGGCAAGTACATGTACCGTACCAGTTGATTGTCTGTACTAATTAGGAAAAGTATTGTAGTACACCAGTAATCATACTGGGACTCTAAATTCTACTGTGAAAGCTGAAACAACCACATATCCTCTTTACATGCACCCCAAAAAGAGACCTACAGTACTATTTAGTATGCTACATGATAAGCTATTTGTGGCACCGTGCACATTCAGTGGGTATGGGTCCCTCCTGACTTGCACACTCTATAATGGATCCGCTTCCAGTCCATCACCTGGCAGTATCTGCTGCAGTACGCCGCCCGCTCGCACACCACACACCGCCTGAACTCATGAGCCCGAGTTTCAGGCCGCCCACACTGCGCATTCTCGCACATCTTGCACCCGTCCGGCCACCCATGCAGTGCATTCCAGTCCCTGAAAAACGATGCCATGCTAGTATGCCCATGTGAGGTTCCAGCAGAACCAGTGGCAGCACTAGCACCAGAGCCAGGGGCAGCAGAACCAGCGTCCGCGCCAGCACCAACACCCATGCCACCACTCATGCCAGCATCAGCAGATGCCAGGCCTTCAAATCCCGCCTGGCCTTGCCCCGGCTCTGTGCCGCTTCCATTCTCCCCCGACGGCGCAAAAAGCTCCGCAATTTTCGATGTGAGACCGTGCTGCTCCGCTGCTGCTGCCGCCGCCGCTGCTTCTAAGTTAATATCCACTCCTGCTGCTCCCAACACAGCAGGTGCAGCTGCAACTGCAGGCATGCGCCAGCCTTGATCATCATCCCCAGTGTTGGTACCAGCCGATTCAGCAGCCCATGGAGCATCTCTCACTTGCCATATGTTGGATGGATAGGATGCCAGATCAGCGCGTGAGCCCGTGGCAAGGCGACTGGGAGCAAAAGCTTCAAAACCGCCACGGCTGGTTGCTGTGCGAGGAGCAGGTGCACTGGAGGAGGAGCAGGGAGCGAGAGCGTGAGGCGAAGCAGCACACCCAGAGGTGGGAGAGGAGTGAGAGAGCACGGAAATGGCAGTGTGGCACCCAGCAGCGCAGCGGACTATGGAGATCACCGGCCCCTGCTGCCCCCTCAGTGGCTGCAACGAGAGCGACGTCGATCCTTGTAGCGAAACAGGCTGTAGCGAGACGGTGGGTGCCCCGCGGGATCGCGCATTCAGGCTCATCGTCTGCGCAGAGGCCCCCCCTGCGGAGTGGAGAGAGTGTGTGAGGTTGTGATCTGGCGGTGGTGTTGCTGCAGCGAGGGTGGAAGCACTCACCCCTGCACCTCTCACCTCTGATCCACATTCCTCCAGCAACCACCTTCGTGCCTGCGGCGGCTCTTGCACCACTCCAGTGGTGACTATTGCAGCAGTCGATGCTACTGGTGAATCTGTCAGCTGTTGCTGCTGCTGCTGCTGTTGCTGCTGCTGTTGCTGTTGCTGGTGGTTTTGCTGGTGCGACTGCACGACCACTTCCTGGCCTCTGTGCGACTGCCGGGCCGTGTCTCTCGCCTCTCCCCGAACCCTCTGCAGCTGCAGCCCCACCGCGGCGGATTGCACGGCGGGCGAGGAGTGCGGGGAGTTTGCGAGCGCGGGGCACATGGCGGCGAGCAGCAGCCGCGCGCCCAGCAGCGTGCGCTGCGGCACTCCATGGCCGTCCTGAGGAGGCGACGCGGGGGGAAGAATGGGGAGACAGGGAGAGAATGTGTGTGTGTGTGTGTGTGTGTGTGTGAGAGAGAGAGAGAGAGAGAGAGAGAGAGAGAGAGAGAGAGAGAGAGAGAGAGAGAGAGAGAGAGAGAGAGAGAGAGAGAGAGAGAGAGAGAGAGAGAGAGAGAGAGGGAACGATGACCGATCGAGGGGTTCAAGTAAGGGAGGAAGTGGAGAAAGATTCTCGTACCAAGTAGCAGTGGCCCAGCTCCTGTAAGGCCTGCTTGCTGCCCGCCCTAGCAGCATGCCACAGAATGTCAGTCGCAGCGGCGGGGTTGCCGTCACTGCTGCCGCCGCCACTGCCGTGAGAATGGATGATCGCCAGCGAATAGATGGCCGCCACGTGCCCCTTCTCCGCCGCCCACACCAGCAGGCTCGCACCCGCCCAGAAGTCCCTATGGCAGTAGAACTTTATCTGATTGGTGGATGGTGGAAGGGAGGAAGGAGGGTTGGGGCAAAGGGGGAGTGGAGAAGGAAGAGTAAGCAAAGGTGGCACAGGGAGAGAAGATCAGTCTACGAAAGGTGATCTAACTTGGATTCAACACAAATCATGAATGCGCGCCATGCGTCCTTATGCATCGCCATGCGCGGCCGTCATGAGATCGAATAGACAGATCTCACCATTCCGAGCACGTAGAGAGCATCCGCGCTCCCCGCCAGCCCGCACTGCAACAAGAATCGGCACGCCATGCGACATTTGTCGCGCTCGACGCCGCTCAAATCCGTGACGGCATTCCTTTCCCCGTCGCAGGCGCCGTAGGAACTTCGCGCGGCGTTCGGCTCACTCTCTCCGGCGCTCGTGGCGGGCGCGGAGGCCCAGAGACGCGCGGAAGGAACGAGGGCGCGCAGTGGTAGGCGGGAGAGCACCGGGGGCTCGCGGACGAGACGCGCGAAACGGGAAGATCTGTGGGAGGAATGAGTGGACAGGAGGTGCGGATCGGAGAGAGACGTTGGGAATAGAACGAATGATCTAGAGATCGACACGCGTCGGAGACATAATGACTACCGTGTTAATGAGGAGCGCCGTGGATCAGGGAAAGCGAACTCGTGTCTGCTACGTTACAGCTCGAGCCGCAATGACGCAACGAGGAACTACAGACACCACTCTACGAACATTGATAGCGGAGCACCGTGCTGCATCATGCGACGCGTGCACGGACGACGATGTTACTACTACGACGACTAATAGCAACGATGGTACGAGAAATCCCCTCTCGAACTCACGTGAGAGCGAGATTTGCCAAATCGACGGGCGATGCCGCGGCGGCGGCTGCTTTGGAGAGAATGAGAAGAAGGAGCTCGTCCTGTTGTCGGGACACGGGAAGAGAAGGTGAAAACGGTTAGGACGTCACATTAGAAGAAATCAACAATTCTATCAACGGGGGGTGCCGTACGTTGAAAGCACTTGCTGTGATTGATCCGCGCAGAAATAGTTCGAGCGAGCCGCGGTGAAAGCGTCGACGGGAGGTACTAAGGAGCCACCAGGGGCGCGAGATTTTTAAGAGAGACTTTTCGGATGATGGTGTAGCTTGTCTCGGCTTTCCGGGATGACGAGACCAGGGCGATGGTGGTAGATAGGCGGGATATAGACAGGTAGACCCTCTTAATTCATCTCATCTGCAACAGCTGCAGCAGGAATAGAAAGCGAGGAGCATCAGGGGGGTTCACGTACAGGAAGCGACTCTACTGCGCCCGCCGCAACGCCTCCGCGGTCTTCAAGGAGGGAGTGGTAGTGGGCGCTCTTTCGTGGACGGACCATCGCGCTGTTGTCCATACTTCCGCCTGTCACGGGGATGCTTCAGCGTTCTTAGAGTACTTTGAACTACGGAGAATCACTGCACGACCTCGTCTACGAAAGATTGCTGATGGGTGTGGCGGAAAGAAAGAAAGCGCAATCCTATCAGCGACGAAAGCATGACTTCCTTGGGTAACGGAGCAGAACGCAAGCCACTCACTGAGAAAGGGCCAGATTCTGAAACATTCTAACTGGCGACCAAATGGACCTACTGTTTCGTTTCAAGAGACCTGAGGCTTCTAGTACTACTCGCTTGAGATTGATTCTCATGTCTGAAGCTGCATTACGAGGGCTGAAATACGAGGTTGCTTGGTCGACATGAATTCCTTTGCTCGGCGTGTTATGTTGCTGGTCGTGATGGCAGATGGGGGGGAGTTCACGCGCACTGGGGAACCCAACCACACCACTCCATAACATTGGGTTGTGGCGGATAGAAGGGCAATTTCTTCTGCCACGATGTGAAGACAACCGCAAACGCGACGCATGCGGCGCCTTGGTAGAACTTGCTTCCATCCCATAGGTTGGGATGGGCTGGCGTTTCTGGGGTCTGAACATCACCTTCCCTGTAATTTTACGGGCTGTACAATCTCGAGGGTTGTTTCGCGAAACTACAGTACAGAATTAGAACCTTTAGGATACCACATCGCGAAGACTAGAGACCACCGCAACGTGCTTAGCAATCACTTTGTGTGGGCTTCATCTTTGAATAGTCACAGACACGCCTCAGATCCCCGATAGTCATACTGCAAGTATTATTTGAAGAAAAGCTATACGGTATTCAATGTCCTGACTTTTATGGTGGGCAGACATCAGAAGTCGCCACCACCAATCCAAGTCGTGTGCTGCTGGCGTGGATGGATTTGGCTTGTTCTAAGTCGTTCGTTGGTTGGTCGGAGCCCGGGAAACGCGCGAAGATTCGGGAACCAATTCAAAAAGCGACCTGAAAGGGTTCCGTGAACTGAGTTTAGGCAGGACTAGTATTCTACTATTGTTTTCCTCGTCGCCCTAGAGCAGGCAAAATCTATTTTCGCCCTAGATCCTGAAACCTGTCGGGCACTTGCTAAGTGTTTATCGTGAAATGTTCTACCCTTTTTTAAAGTCAACTACATCAGCCACATTCCCTCTCAAACGTCGCAATTGAGAGTTCCCTCCCAAGTCTCGTCAGGGCGGCTTGTTGGTTATTCGCTTTGCTTCTCGTTCCTTCTGGATGCGCAACTCCACGTTGATAATGATGAATCATGTGGTTGCATAATGATTGAAACCACCTCTTCCCAGCCCAACTGCTCCTTGTTTTCTCTGTACACCCTAGAAACTCAGCAGGATTC